ACAGTGTTCTGGGACTGCGTGGGTGGGCGTTGGGGTGGGCTGGAGTGCTGGATGTTGGCATCAGGATGGCTGATCTGAGGTCGAACGGGAGCTTCGGGTGAAGCGATCTGAGAGCGTCGGTGCCCCTCTGCAGAGGTGATGCTGTCTGACAGCGGCGTGTCTGTTCAATAGCCCCCTCTATTGAACAGCCACGCCCGTGTCTGTTCAATAGCCCCCTCTATTGAACATGCCATGTTCAATAGCCCCCTCTATTGAACAGCCACGCCCGTGTCTGTTCAATAGCCCCCTCTATTGAACAGACACGCCTCTGTCGATGTCCCAGCTGCCTTCGAGGCTCCCAGATCGCTTCGGTATTGCTCCTGATCACACTTCGCGCATCTCCTGAATCCGTCCCGCGCCCTCCTCGGACACCTTCCGTGTCCCTCCTGTGTCTGCCCGCCCGCCCGCTCCCGAGCTCCCGTGTATACCTATCCGTCTCCCGTGTCTCTCCCGCGTCTCTCCCGTGCCCCTTCCGTGTCTCCACATGCCTTCCGTGCGCTCCCGCCCGTGTCCCTCCGCACCGCTTCCGCGTCCGTCCGCCCGCTCGCCCCCGAACTCCCGTGTCCCTCCCGTGTCTCTTCCGTGCCCCCCCCCGTGTTTCTCCCATGTCCCTCCCACCCCTCCGTGTCTTTCGCACCGTCCCTTCCGTGTTCCTCAAATGATCATGCATCCCCCCCCGTGTCCTGCCCGCCCGCCCGCCCGCGCTCGTGTCCTTCCCTCCCGTGTCTCCTCGCATCTCCCCCCGCCCCCCCCCCCCCCCGTGTCCCTCATTATCTCCCTCCTCTCCTTTCCATCACTCTATATCTCTCTCCCTATTGCCCACTACCATGCGTTCCATCATGGTGCGCATGCATAGCGCTGCAGCGCTTCATGTTACTTTGTGACGATGATTTCTGCTGAGCGCTGCAGCGCTCACGTGTGTTCCTTAATTGCATGCGATCGTTGCGCTGCAGCGCATCTGTACTGTTGTGGCCTCTCTTCCACCTCAGCAGCCGAGTGCTTCAGCTCTCGCAGTGTGGGAGGCCCTCCCTCGCGCTTCCCCTCGGAGCGTCCGCGCACCCCCTCGCCCTCGCGGAGGGCATCATGTCTGCCGCGGCTGCGGCCACACCCATCAACCACATCCTGGATAACCTGGACAGCTGCGACGCCTTCTTCGCATCGCAGATCGGCGTCATCGCCGCCGACGCGATGGCGCAGAGCCAGTCCGCCTTGTCCATGAGCGTGCAGCTGCAGCTTCACAACTTGGGGACGATCGGGGCTGCCCAAGCAGCTACCCTGCAGAATCGAATCACCGCGTCGGGCTTCGCGGACAGCCACAAGGCGCGCCTCAGCGCCGTGCTGGCCGCGCGCGTGGGCACGGCGACGCCCACGCTCCAGATGCGCGTGCAGACGCTCGCGTCAGGGCGGTGCTATCCATCGTGCTTTGCACATCGGACCGCCGAAGTGTTATTCACATGTATGGTTTAATTGTTTGTTCTGTACTTTATGTATGTTACCATGTTCATTTTTCAAATGTACTTATGTTAGCATGCTGCAGCATGCCTGCGTCGATTCGTAGGCTGGTGGACTTTACCATGCAGGACTGGGGTTTATTTCGCGACCCCAGCCAGAGCATCGTCGCGAAGGTGCGCGCGTTGATCAAACGTTGCGGTGCCATCGGCTTGACGGTTCCGAGCGAGAACACGCTGAAAGAGTTGGCGGCGTTGATGGCATGCGCCCATCTTCCAGACGCAAACCCTGGGCAGCTCTACGGGATCGTGACGGAGATGAAGGTTTGGGATTCGGCGGGAACGCCTAACGCAGACGCATCATATCGCACTGACTGCAGCCAATGCGACGCGGCGCGTCAGCGTTAGGGTTTCCCGACGAGTCGCCCTTTACAGGGTCAGTTCTTGGCGAGCCGCAGGGGCGCGACGGGGCAAGCGGCGACAGTGACTTGGAATTTCCCAGCAGATCCTCGGCAGCTCCCTCAGCACATCTTCGACGCGGCGTACACCGATGCGGACCCGCCGATCGATGTGACGCGCGACCTCGCCAACGTGGCATCGCATCTACGAGGCTGCTGCCACCCCGTCATGCGCTGCAGCGCTGATTGTTCTGGATGTCTTGGGTGCTTCGGTGAGCTCGGTCCTTTAGGTCCACCTCGCATAGAGCATGATAGGTTTCATGCTACGCGTGCGCCGCTGAAGCGGCCTGCGGGTCTCAACGCCATCAAGGCCCGCGTGCCTCTCAGGCTGACCAACAAGGGCTTGCGGGCTGCCGCCCCACCGCATCAGCCGAGCACTGCCATTGTGCCATGGACACCATCGGGGTCACCCTCCGTGCCGCCTGCAGCGCCAATGCAACCCATGGACGCGATGGCCGTGATGCAGCAAATGCTGGCAGCGTTTGCGCCACCGCCATCGCCGCCCAACGAGCTGCAGCTGCAGCTCTTCCCGCGCCGCCCTGCGGCGCCCACGGCGAGCCCCCCCGCGAGTCCCCCCGCGATTGGCGATTCGCCAGCTGGGCCAGCATTGTCAGCGGCGGCGCCAGATGCTGCTGCAGCAGCGCCAACGCCGCCAAACGAAGATGCTGCTGCAGCAGCAGGCGGAGACGAGGATGCTGTGCTGCAGGCGATCGAGACCTTGGCTGCGGGCAGCGCGAAAGGCGAGCTGCCTCGCAAAGGGCAAGGGCAAGGGCAAGGGCAAGAAGGGCAAGGGCAAGAGCGCGATCAAGGGCAAGAGCAAGACAGGCGCTGTCAAGGGCAAGACGGCGGCCAAGGGCACGGCCAAACCGAAGGCCAAGGGCAAAGGGAAGGCCAAAGCCAATGCCAAGGCCAAGCCCAAGGGCAAGGCGGCAGCCAAACGGGGCCAAATGGCACTCGGGTGCAGCAAATGCCGCTACCTGCCGAATGGCTGCGGCACGTGCCGCGACCCGAACTTCACTGGCCGTCGCGGCAAGCCGTGAGCGCGCAACGGGCACTGTCGGCATATGAAGGTGAGGATGAGGATTATGAGGGCGAGGAGGAGGATGGGTAGGATGATGAGGAGGATGAGCATGTGGAGGAGAAGGAATGGGGAGGATGGTGGGGATTAGTGCGAGGTTGGATGGAACGCTGGCCGATGATATGAACGGTAGTGGCGATGGTCTTGCCTGGCGGTCGCGCGGCTCGCACGGACGACGAGGAGGATGAAAGTCAAATATGTTGACGGGTTCTCTTGGATGCGGGCGCTGCAGCGCTGGCGCCTTTGTGTTCAACGTTTGCATCGCCATCATGATCACGATGCAGCGCTGCAGCGCTCGCTTTCCTGGATGGTGGCGTAGATATTGCGTGCTGTTGTGTTCCGATGCAGCGCTGCAGCGCCTGTCAGACTTGTGGTGCCGTTGTAGCGTTGGCGCGTTTGTGAGTGTGCAGTTGCAGCCGCGGTGTCCATGTTTTTGCGTGACGTGCTCGTCTTGAGTGCCAGTCGTTTCTCGTCGATACGCGCTGCAGCGCCATCATTCGTGATGTCGAGCGTTGTCTCCCGCATGGTTGTTGCCAAGTCACGCGCTCCAGCGCTGTGATTCGCTCATGTTGCGCGTTGCCGATGGCATGCCCTCCCCCCCCTCCTCCTCCCCCTCCTCCTCCTCACTTGGCTCGCGCGTCGCAGCCGCCATCGTTCGCTGCAGCGGGTGCTGGCAACGGACCTCCCCCGCCTCCTCACTGGGCTCGCAATGGCGGCGCGCCGCTGCGACAAGCCGTTCGAAGCGCAAGCGCGCGCCGACCGTCGCGACGAGTTGCGCGAGGCCCGCGCGAGAGCGACGGCGACTGCTACAGCAGAGGGGAAGGAGGCGCGGAAGAACGCCAGGAAAGCGGAGAAGCAGGTGCAGATCCGCACCGCGGAGCTGCAGGTGGATGAGGAGGCGGATGAGAAGGAGGACGGTGGGGTTCATGAGTGTGGCAGGCTACTCCCCCGCTGCAGCGGGGGGGAAGGACGGCAGGGGGGATGATCAGGAGGAGGTGGAAGGCGATGATGTGGGAGGATGAGGAGTATGAGTAGCAGGGTCGGGGTCAGATGGACATCGCCGCTTCGGACGTGGCCAACCAGAAACTCAACGAGGCGTTGGCCTCGCTGCGAAACGCCAAGAAGATGAAGGTGACCTGAGTGAGGTCGGCCTCGGCGACCGCCTGCTGAAGCACGCTGGTTCGATTGATTGGTAAAGGCTGGAGGGAGCGTGGTTGAGCGTGTTGTTTGAGTTGCGCTGCAGCGCTTCTCCGTGGACCACGGTTGAAAGTTTGCGCGCGGATCATGATGTGTTAATGTGTTGCGCTGCAGCGCAGTTTCGCTTGCAGTTTCTCGTTGGATGGTGATGTGGCGGATGATGAGGGCGAGTGATATTGATGCTGTTGGCGATGAAGGTGATGGTGACGGGGAGGATGAAGGGACGGGAGACGGATGATGAGGAGGATGGGTAGGTTGAGGAGGAGGATGGGGAGGATGAGGGGGCGCATGAGGCGGAGGAGGAGGGGGGGGAGGAGGAGGGGGAGGAAGAGGATGAGGAGGAGGTATAGGAGGGGGAGGAAGAGGAGGAGGGCGAGGGGCATGGCGAGCAGGATGGAGGAGGAGGAGGACGTTCGCGCTGCAGCGCGTCAGATTGTCATCATTGAACGTTAGCGGCGCTGTAGCGCCATGTGCTCCCAGACTGTTGCTTGGCAGTTAGCGCTGCAGCGCGCATTTGGTTGCTCTCCACGCGGTGCAGCCTCATTTCCATCCGTAGTCGCCGTGGCCCCTAGCGGAGGGACCCCTCCGCGCGCGCGCAGCGACGGAGGCAAGCTTGCCTCGGGAACGCGCGCGATGGCGGCAGAGGACGACCGCCCAGCGAAGCTGCGGCGGCTGTCCCGCCTTCGCGCGGAACTGCCATTCATGCATAGTAATGCGATGGCGCAATTCCTGGCGTCCGTTAAGCGAGACGGAACCCCCGAATTGGGATCCCGACGCCAGGATATCAGAGACGCTCGGGAGCTCATGGTCGGTGAGAACACGCCGTGCGGCAAGCTCCACCAGAACATGGTAGTCGGGCAGCACACGGTGGGGATCTGCAGTCCAGCAGCAATGCTGTGGTATTGCAGCGCCCTCCCCGCGATGCAGCCTCTGTGGCAGCGGGCGCTGGAGCTGCCACGCCCGTGGCACATCATCATTTACGGCGATGAAATAGGCGCTGGCAACGCGCTGGCGCACGTGCAGAACCGCAAGTCCAGGGGCATCTACTGGACGATCGCGGAATTCGGCCCGCAGGCGCTTTCGTCGGAGGACTTTCGCGATAGCGTTGCTGCAGCAACGATATATGCGGGGGGGGGGAGAGGGGTAGAGAGAGATAGAGAGAGAGAGAGAGAGAGAGAGAGAGATAGAGAGAGAGAGAGGCGCTGCAGCGCCAGTTGTGCTGCGATTTGTTCGCAGGATGCGTGGTTCCAGCTCGCGACGATGCGGGCCAAGACCGCGAACGACATCCAGCCGCACGGACTGACGATGCTACTGGACGCAATCCTCGCGCAGTTCTGGCCTGATCAGGGGCACAACTTCAGCGCAGGCATCAGCTTGCGGCTGCGCCCCGACGGCGCGACGGAGCTCATCCAGATGGACCTCGGAATTTACATTCAGCCGCTGCAGCGGTCGCCGCATAGCACCCAAGATTACTTAGCATACATGTGCACATGTATATATCCATTACGCCTTCTTGCGTCGCTGCAGCGGCTCTGTCGGATCGCGGCCGAGGATGCAATACACCGCTTGATCGGAATGAAAGGTTCGTCAGGAATCAAACCATGTTTTACGTGCCGCAACGTGTTCTTGAAGGGCGAAGTTCGGGATATAGTTGCTTCTGATGCGACGGGTGTCGCTGTTCACCACTCGGAACCAGATGCGTCGCGGCTGCAGCCGATGACGGCGCCGTTGCTCGATGCCATCTGCAACAGATTGATCGAAGGGGTCAACATCGCGAACAAGGGCGAGTCCCAGGAGTTGGAGCGCCGACTTGGCTGGAACTGGGACCCCCATTTGCCTGAGCGGGTTCGGAAACTCAAGCCGCTCGAGACAGTCATGTTTGATTGGATGCATTGTATTTTCGTCAACGGTACATATAACATTCTGGTGTTCCAAATGTTTCGAAGGTTGAAGGGTTACTGGGCGCGCGCAGACGCATATTTCCAGGACTGGTCGTTTCCAGGGTGCCACTCCATCCCCCCCGACACGTGCGCGATCTTCGGCGATAAGCGCGCGGGGTCCCACGTTGACAGCAAGCATTTCAAGTGTACCGCCAGCGAGGGGCTCACAACCATGCAAGTATCATTGCATGCTTCGCGCCCCCGCCAGACCAATAATACATGCGCTGCAGCGCACGTGAATTTCAGTAGGATATGTACTGCACCCCTCTTGTTCGGACATGCGTTCGCGCGGGCGGATTGACGTGTTTCTTCGGGGAGGTGGCTAGCGACGCTGCAGCGCCTGCAGTCCGATCTGCTTGCGCAGTGTTCGAGGCGCACACGATCGTTGTGGAAGAAATCCTACGAGTATCCAGGCGTCAGGCAGACGCGGATAAGCTGCAGGCTGCGGTTAACATGTTTTTGCTGTCGTACAGCAGCGTCTTTGGCAAGGAAACGATGGCGCAGAAGTTCCATTACCTGCACCACTTCGCCAACTACGTGAGGCGTTGGGGCCATGTGGCGCTGCCGTCGTGCTGGGTTTTGGAGCGCAAGCACAAGACCAGCAAGCGCTTTGCGAACGCTCTTCAGTTGGGGGCTGCAGCCTCCAGCGGCTGGGACGCCAATGTCCTGAAGAGCGTCACCGAGCGGCACCTGTGGCAGCTCATGGATGGCGACACCTTTAAGGTTAACTGCCTGGTTAACGCCACCAGGCCGTCCAAGGCCAACTCGCGCGAACTGCTGC